CTTGGAGTTGTGAGCCCTTAAAAGGGACAGGAATTGCTCATTCGAGGAGCTCGGCTCTTGAGACAGAAGTCTTGCCGATGATGCCCTGGGCCGAATAAACCCCTTCCTTCTTTAACTCGGTGTCTGAGGAGTTTTGTCTGTGGCTGGTCCTGCTACATAATGAGCTCATCTGTCCTTAATTACCTCCTAAAGATCCTTTCTCCAAACACAGTAACACTGAGGGGTAGGGTTTCAACATGAATTTTGAGGGGACACAAACATTTGGCCCATGGCATGTTGAATTTTATCTGAGTGTTTTTTTTCTGTACCTCTTGTGATGATTATGTAAATTCACTCCTTTAATTTGTTGATATCATGGATTACATCATAGAACGTGCAATGGCAAACCATCTTTGCATTCATGATATAGTCATTATATATGCATTTAAAAATATATTGTCGGAATTCACGTGCAAATATTTCATGTAGGATTTTTGTACCTACATTTGTAAGTAAGAGGGACATTCAATTTTTCATTTTCAATTTGTCTTTGTTCACTTTTTGTATCCAAGATATTATTTGCTCCAAGTAGACATTTACTTCTGATTTTTTTTTTTTTTTTGATTGGTGAATATTTTTGGTCAGGTCCCTCACCCCAACTTTCAGTTATAAAAAATTTTCAAATCCAGAAAAATGGAATAAATAGTACAGCAAACATTTATATATGGATCAAGTGGATTCAATAATTCTTGGCAGTTTGCCATATTGCTTTACACATGTGTATGTGTCGTGTACATGTGTATTTTATGAGCCATTTGGGGATAAATTGCAGAGGTTATGACACTTCGTTGTTCAGTACTTAGTATATATCATCGAACTAGGAACATTCTGTATAACTGCTGTTCTCATACCTTAAAAAAGTAATGGTAATTCATAATATCAACCCCCATCTATATTCACTCCTGTTGTCCCCCAAATGTCTCTTATAGCTATTCTTAATTGTGAACCAGGATCTAGTTAAGGTTCACATGGTGCAATGCAATTAGGTTTATTTCTGTTTCTTTTAATCTGGAGTTGTCTCACCACCTTTTTTCCTGTTACTTTGAAATTTTTTTTTAGCTTTTTTTTTTTTTTTGAGACAGGGTCTTGCTCTGTTGCCCAGGCTGGAGTGTGGTGGGCAGTCAAATCAATTATAGCTCACTGTAGCCTCGACCTCTCAGGCTCAAAGGATCTTCCCGCCTCAGCCTATCAAGGAGCTGGGACCACAGGTGTGCACCATCACGCCAGGCCTTTTTTTTTTTTTTTTTTTTTGTAAAGACAGGGTCTCACTATGATTTCCAGGCTTTTCTCCAACTTCTGAGCTCAAACAGTCATCCCACCTTGGCTTTTCAAAGTGCTAGGATTACAGGTGTGAGGCATCACACCTGGCCAAATTTCAAAGGCAGACATATAAAGTAGTTGGGAAACATTTCCTCTCTTTTCTCTTTTACCAATTTGTTCATTTTTTTTTTTTTCAAATTTATTAACATAAAGTTGTTTGTATTAATTTTTTATGATTTCTAAAGATAGAATTTGTCATGCTCGACTGTGTGAAGAGACCACCAAACAGGTTTTGTGTGAGCAATAAAGCTTTTTAATCACCTGGGTGCAGGCCGGCTGAGTCCAAAAAGAGAGTCAGCGAAAGGAGATAAGGGTGGGGCCGTTTTATAGGATTTGGGTAGGTAAAGGAAAATTAGTCAAAGGGGGTTGTTCTCTGGCGGGCAGGAGTGGGGGTCACAAGATGCTCAGTGGGGGAACTTTTTGAGCTAGGATGAGCCAGGAAAAGGAATTTCACAAGATAATATCATCGCTTAAGGCAAGGACCGGCCATTTTTACTTCTTTTGTGGTGGAATGTCATCAGTTAAGGTGGGGCAGGGCATTTGCACTTCTTTTGTGATTCTTAAGTTACTTCAGGCCATCTGGGCATATACGTGCAAGTCACAGGGGGTGCGATGGCTTGGCTTGGGCTCAGAGGCCTGACAAAATCTTTATGTGACCTTTTCATTCCAGATACTGTTTTATTGTTGTGTGTGTGTGTGTTCATCATTCTTTCCCTTTTATTGATCAATTTTGTTGGAGATGTGCCTATTTTATAACTTTTTAAGGAATCATATTTTAATCTCTTTGGTTTCCTTCTATTATTTCTTTCTTTTTCTTTTCTTTTTTTTTTTTGAGACGGAGTCTTGCTCTGTCGCCCAGGCTGGAGTGCAGTGGCGCCATCTTGGTTCACTGCAAGCTCCGCCTCCCAGGTTCAAGCGATTCTCCTATCTTGGCCTCCCGAGTAGCTGGGATTACAGATGCATGCCACCATGCCCAGCTGATTTTTGTATTTTTAGTAGAGATGGGGTTTTACCATGTTGGCCAGGCTGGTCTCGAACTCCTGACCTCCTGATCTGCCCGCCTCAGCCTCCCAAAGTGCTGAAATCACAGTTGTGAGTCACTGCACCCAGCCTATTTCTTTATTTTCATCTCTTTATTTCCTCTTTGCAGGGTTTGCTGTATTCTGAATGTTTGTGTCTCCCCAGAATTCCTATGTTGAAATCCTAACCCTCAAGGTAATTGTATCACCCCCTGGGAGGTCAGGTCTTTGGAAAGTGATTAGGTCTGAGGGCAGAGCTCTTGCTATAGGGATTAGTGTCCTTACAAAGGAGACCCCAGGGAGCCAGCTAGTCCCTTCTACCCCGTGAGGATATAAGGAGAGAGCGCCATCTATGAACCAGAAAGTGGACCTTACTCAACATTGCATCTGCCAGTGCCTTGAACTGGGACTTCCCAGCCTCCAGGACTGTCAGAAATAAACCTCTGCATTTATGAGCTACCCAGTTTACTGTATTTGTTATAACAGCCTGAATGAACTAAGAAAGGCTTAATTCTATTTTTTTCCTCTAACTTCTTGATATTTGGCTGACTTTCATTCCTTCCTCTTGTTCAAGTATATGCAGTCTAGGCTGTAAAGATGCCTCTACTGCCGTATTGATTGCATCAAGTTTTGCTATATAGTGTTTTCATGGTAACATGGTAATCCAATTCTAAATCTTTTGGGTTTTATTATAATTTCTTCATTGCATTTGTATAACATTTGTTATATAAAATCTTTGCTGAATCTTTGATTGTGGTTTAATATGCAGGCAGTTCACCTCTGCTTGTAAAGACTCTGTGTTCTCCAGTTGTTAATGAAGGGAATTACATATGTCTTTGGGTTTAGTGCTCCTAGTTCCTCTTTTTTGATGGAACCTGAATTTTCTTTTTTTCTTCTTTTTTTTGAGACAGAATCTCGCTCTTGTTGCCCAGGCTGGAGTGTACAAAATGGCGTGATCTTGGCTCACTGCAACCTCCACCATCCAAGTTCAAGCGATTCTCTTGCCTTAGCCTCCCAAGTAGCTGGGACTACAGGCGCCTGCCACCACACTCGGCTAATTTTTGTATTTTCAGTAGAGACGGGGTTTCACCATATTGGCCAGGCTGGTCTTGAACTCCTGACCTTGTGATCCGCCTGCCTCAGTCTCCCAAAGTGCTGGGATTACAGGTGTGAGCCACCATGCCTGGTCCAGAACCTTAATTTTTAAAAAGTCTAATTTGAACCAGGCATGGTGGGTCACACCTGTAATCCTCGCACTTTGGGAGTGTGAGGCGGGATGCTTGCTTGAGCCCAGGAGTTTGAGACCAACCTGGGCAATATAGTGAGACCTCGTCTACATAACATTTTTATTTTTAAAAAAGAAGCTGATTGTGGTGGCGTGTGCCATAGTCCCAGCTACTTGGGAGGCTAAGGTGGGAGGATTGCTCGAGCCCAGGGAGGAGGTGGAGGCTGCAGTGAGCCGTGTTTGTGACCCTGCACTCCAGCCTGAGTGCCAGAGCGAGATCCTGTCTCAAAAAACAAAACCAAACGAAACAAATCCAAGTTGAGAATCTGTCTCAGCTAGTGAGTTTAATCTGTTTCCATTTATTTAAATGTAGGTAGGCCTGCTGGCAGCGAGTTATCTCAGTCGTTTACAAATCATATTCCTTGTTCTACTCCTTTCCCACTTTCGCCGCATCACTTCATGCTTTTTAACGAACAGGTTTTTAATTTCCTAATTGCTTCCTGTTTTCTATTTTGATTCACCAAGTGTTTCCAGGTGAATTTCAAACCCCATTCCCACTGGAAATTCCTCCCAGGTATTATGTCTACTGAATCTTGTTTATTTGGATCGCCTCCTTGTGTATCGTTTTTGCTGATGAGCTGCTCTTCAGTGGGTGGTATTTTTGGCCTGGATTGTGGAAGTCTTGTGGTAAAGTGGATTTGCATTTGCCTCTGCCTGGTGTTCCAGGCGTTTCACTGGCCCCGGGTCAATTGTATTAATGTCTCAGCGAGGTATTCCTACTTTGCAAGCATGGTATACATTTGAGGATTGCTTTCTTTTTTCCCTTCCACTCAGAATCTAGACTGAGATGGGCTTCTTTGCACACGCCTGAGCCTGGCGGATGGAGCTGTCCTCGTTTTGCTTTGGCCCCTTTACCTGAGACATGAACCTTTGGGGGTTCCACATGGCAGGCGTGGGTCTCTTACAAATTCCCATCTCATGTGCTTCCAAGGCTCATTCCACACGTCAACACAAAATCCTAAGCACCCGACTGTTAGGGTGTGCTCCTGGGTTGGGTCCTGTCCCCCAACATCACTGCACCCCGTCAGCATCTGTGGGTGTCATCCTCACTCTGGCGTTCTGTTTCCTCTCCAGTCCTGGCCCCTGAAGAGTCACTTTTCCCTAGGAGTTCTTTCATCTCTCTTTTTTTTTTAAATTATTCAGTCTGGCATTTCTAGTGTTTATAGCCTTACTCTGCTGTGTGGCCAGAACCAGAGGTTACCATTGATTTCTTACATAATACCATAGATGTTGTTAAAATGCATTTTTTCCTATAATCTTGATTTGAGCTTTACTTACCATTTATAGCCTTTAAATTTGCAGCATTCAGAATATAATTCTTGTTTCTCTCTCCATAGCCCGACTTCAATCTCTGCGATGGCTAACGAAGCTTATCCTTGTCCGTGTGACATTGGCCACAGACTTGAGTATGGAGGGCTAGGCCGCGAGGTTCAAATCGAGCACATCAAGGCTTATGTCACCAAATCCCCCGTTGATGCAGGCAAAGCTGTGATTGTCATTCAAGACATATTTGGCTGGCAGTTGCCCAATACCAGATATATGGCTGACATGATCTCAGGAAATGGATACACGTATGTATAAAGTTGCGTTTCTTTGTTTACATTCATATAAATTTCGGTGGTTTATTTTGTTCCCTTTAAAAAATAAAACCACAGCAGTCTGACTCTACAGTACCTAACGTACGCCAGAAACTTCTTTATCTGACTGCGGTGAAGATAGATGGGAAATGTCATGGGAAATTAAACACCCGCCTGTGTCCTCCTGGGAGTGCCTGGCCTCTAGACTTGGTGGACACTGAGATTTCTTTTCCCCCGTGGGGCCTTGGCCAGATGTACGCACTGGACATCATGGGCCGAGCTCACCAGCTCCCAAATGGACCTGTGACTTGGCTCTTCAAGCAGCTCAGCCTCGTGTCAGATTTCACAGGCCTCTTTGGATGGCAGGGTGTCCAAGGCTCCTCCTGGTCCATACACGTACGGTCGTGGCCCCGTCTGAATTAGACTGGGGTTCAGAAGTGGCACAGTGAGACCTTGCTCCCCTCCCCAAGTTTACCTCTTTGTCTGGCCAAGTGGCCGTGGTCACCTTTGACCAAGGCTGATTCTTATTTGCCCCTGGTGAAAAGCGCAGAGGAGAGCCAGAACCTTCCTTCCTCTCCAGCGTCGGGAAGCATCAACCCAGCAAGCCCTGAGCTTGGTGCACGGCTAGATTTCCTTTGTTTTCACAGAAAGAGAAGCTTTCTGTGAAAGGAAACCCAAGGGTGAGCCTACCTCGTTTTTCTAGGAAGAGAAACTGGCTTAAAGGAATCATGTCCACGCTGGCGGGATGCCGAGTCAGTGCTGAATGAAAAGACCTTCCTTGAAGTTTTCCTTTTTCACATCCCCAGATGAGGGGACTTAACTTTCTAGGGGCAAACCCAGTAAAAAAAAAAAAAATAAAGAAATAAAATAGCTAGCTTCGGTTGCTCAGCTAGAGCCAGGGCTGAGGGCATGACTGGGCTTATTGCCCTTAATCCTCCTGGCAGCCCCTTGAGGGAGGAGCTGCTACTGCTCTCATTTTGCAGATTAGGAAACCAGGACATAAAGAGCGCTCTGCGGCTGCCCCAGATCACCGGCCCAAGCAGCCCATCAAATGGCATTGCTGTGTCTGTTGTTTCACGGCGGGTCCTTGAACAAGGTTCAGGACATAAAAGATAAGGAAAGACCCCTATTTTACAAAGCACTTTCTCATGTACACCATTTTTTTTTTTTTTTTTGCCCTCGAGAGAATCCTCTGAGGTTGTGCAGTGCAAGCGTGCTGTTTATTTGTCAGATGAGAAAATGAGGCTAGAAGTGGTGACATGGCTTGTTAAGGCCACACAGCAGCGTGGGGTGTACTGAGCCTTGAACTTGGATTTTCTCACTCCAGTTTCAGAGTTCTTCTTACCCCTACAGGGGGAGCCCTGTTCCTCCAACCAGGTGGCAGTTCTATTTGGGGAAACAGTTGGGAAACAAGACTCGACTGGAACAGTTGGCTTCATCCCTCTGGGTTGATTTGCATGGAAGAGCGACCTGGATTGGGGCCACGCTTGTTTGCTCCCTGCTGCCCGTCTTAGAACATACCCTCTGGATAGGAAACGGTGCTTTGCCGGCGTCTTGGGTGGAGGCTGGGAAAATTGCCTGGTCATAGTGACTGGACATGTTAGCCATGTGTGCCCTCTGGCCTGAGGCTCATGTGAGAGGCCAGGAGTCCCCCAGGCTGGCTGAGAGGGGCTGGAGGGGCCCTCAAAACCACCCGCTTCAGGCCCACTCCCCCAGGGGCCCCCACATCCCATGCCAGCCTATCCCATGGGAGTGTGCCCTGTGGATAGCCTCATCATTTGCAGGGCTGGGTTACCAGCAGGCTGCCAGACGCTGTGCACCTGCGGTTGTGAAACCTAAGATGGCTTGGCCCGGTGCCAGGTGGCTGCTTTGCCGCGCTCAAAGTTGGCCTTCACACCCACCACTTTTCCTTTTCTCCGAGCCAGAATCACCAACGTAGCAAGTTTTTAAATAAATGGAAGCAAAATACTGAGTCAAGCAACTCTGAAACTAAGATCAATTCATGTCCATATTTTGCAGAACCATTGTTCCAGACTTCTTTGTAGGACAAGAGCCTTGGGACCCCTCTAGCGACTGGTCCACCTTCCCTGAGTGGGTGAAAACAAGAAATGCCCAGCAGATCGATAGGTGAGTTATCCACAGACGTGGCCATGGACGCGGTACGGCCCAGGGAGGTGAGAGCTGGGTGGGCTTCACCTTTCAGACAGTACCCCTTACCTCAGGGTGGGACTTCTCCACGGCCAGTGGAATCCTTCCCATGGCACAAAGGAGAAAAAATTTTTTTGTTGTTTTTTGAGACGGAGTCTTGCTCTGTTGCCCAGGCTGGAGAGCAGTGGCACGATCTCAGCTCACTGCAACCTCTGCCTCCCAGGTTCAGGCATTCTCCTGCCTCAGCCTCCCAAGTAGCTGGGATTACAGGCTCCCGCCACCATGCTCAGCTAATTTTTGTATTTTTAGTGGAGACGGGGTTTCACCATGTTGGCCGGGCTGGGATATTTTTTTAATTAAAATTTTTAGGCTGGGCATGGTGGCTCAAACCCGTAATCCCAGCATTTTGGGAGGCTGAGGCTGGCTGATCACTTGAGATCAGGAGTTTGAGACCAGCCTGGCCAACATGGTGAAACCCTGTCTCTACTAAAAATACAAAAAACAAACAAATAAACAAAAAACTTTGCTGGGCATCATGACGTACGCCTGTAATCTCAGCTACTCGGAAGGCTGAAACATGAGAAGCACTTGAACCTGGGAGACGGAGGTTGCAGTGAGCCGAGATCGCACCACTGCACTCCAGCCTGGGGGACAGAGCAAGATCCCGTCCAAAAAAAAAAAAAAATTAATTAATTAAAAATTTTAAAATAAAATAGAGATGGGGTCTCACTATGGGCATGCGCCACCGCATCCAGCCAGGATAGCATTCTTTATGTGATGATGATCAATACCAAACAATATTTTTATGAGCACCATCTATGAAAAGAGAGATTTTAGTGCATCTGTCACTTAAGTAGTGTACATTTTACCTAAATATAGTTTTTTAGCCCTCCCCCTTCTGAGTCTCCATAGTCCATTATATCACTCTGTGTGCCTTTGCGAACCTACTCACAGCTTAGCTCCTACTTATAAGTGAGAACGTACAGTATTTGATTTTCCATTCCTGAGTTACTGCCCTTAGAAAAATGGCCTCCAGCTCCATCCAAGTTGCTGCAAAAGATATTATTTTGTTCTTTCTTATTGCTGAGTAATAGTCCATGGTGTATATGTGCCACATTTTCTTTTCTTTTTTTTTTTTTTTTGAGACGGAGTCTCGCTCTGTCGCCCAGGCTGGGGCGCAGTGGCCGGATCTCAGCTCACTGCAAGCTCCGCCTCCCGGGTTCACGCCATTCTCCTGCCTCAGCCTCCCGAGTAGCTGGGACTACAGGCGCCCGCCACCTCGCCCAGCCTAGTTTTTTGTATTTTTTAGTAGAGACGGGGTTTCACCGTGTTAGCCAGAATGGTCTCGATCTCCCGACCTCGTGATCCGCCCGTCTCGGCCTCCCAAAGTGCTGGGATTACAGGCTTGAGCCACCGCGCCCGGCCACATTTTCTTTATCTACTCATTGGTCAATGCGCGCTTAGGTTGCGTATCTTTGCAATTGTGCTGCAATAAACACACGTGCAGCCCACCTCCACTTTGGTACATTGTTTCTAGTTGAAAATGTGTTCTAAGTTCCAATCAGTTTGCAGATGAATCATTTGCCAGGCAAGGGTCACTCTTCTTGGTCCCCTCATGGCTGAAATAGTCCTGATGGCTTTCCAAATTTGGCCATGCAGAGTGAGGAGTTTTGGGGAGAGAGTGAATGTGTGAAGTCAGAGAGTGTCTGGGCGTCTGCCCGTAGTTATGGCTGGTCATGGGAGAGAGGGGAGAGGAGACTCTTCTCCTAGGAGACTCAGGGGACAGAGAAGACTGGGGCACTCTGCAGGGAGCAGGTCGTGGACTCGGGTCTTACGAACCATGCTGTGGGCTGTGGCCTTCATCCCGAGGCTGTGGAAGACTGCTCAGCCCTCAGCTGGGAGTGAGCTGGTTGGATCTGTATTTTGGGAAGAGCCCAGCTTGCCTGCAGCTGTCAGGCAGTTGGAGGAGGGCTGGGCTTGGCAGGAAGACGTGCTGGGATGATGCATCAGTCGGGGCAGAGGTATAGAGCTCCCAAAAGAAGAATCCTTGGCAACTTCAAGAACAGTTGCTGATACAGTCCGGTTACCATCAGCACAGCCCTTTGAGGGGTTCACAAAATAACCCTGATTCTTGAATATTTTTTCTTTCTGTTCTAGAGAGATCAGTGCTGTCTTGAAGTATCTGAAACAACAGTGTCATGCCCAGAAAATTGGCGTCGTGGGATTCTGCTGGGGTGGAACTGCTGTCCATCATTTGATGGTGAAATACTCAGAATTCAGGGCAGGGGTGTCTGTCTATGGTAAATCTGCCTTGTGCATTTTTACTCCATGCGAAAGGGAGGGGTGGAAGAGTGACAGCAATCAGAAGCCTCCCCATCCAGTGTAACACAACCCCCAATAATGTGAAGACCGCCCAGCTTATGGAAATGGGCTTTAAGAATCTGCAAACAGAGGTGGGGGTTTGTCATGCAGTTAACCAGAGGATGTCACTGGGAGTCAAGAGGCCTTGGTCCCAATGGTGTGACTTTGGAAAAGCCACCTAACCTGAGCTCTCCATTTCTTCAGCTAGGATGAAGGGGATAGCATTTTTTTTTTTTAATGTAATCATGATCAGTATCACACAAGATTTTTATGAGCAACATCTATGAAAATATTTTTCTAGTGGTGGCTAATGCCTGTAATCCCAACAGTTTGGGAGCCTTAGGCGGGCAGATCACTTGAGCTCGGGAGTTCAAGACCAGCCTGGGCAACATGGCAAAACCCTGTCTTTACAAAAAATACAAAAATTAGCTGGGCGTGGTCACGTACACCTGTAGTCCTAGCTACTCAGGAGGCTGAGGTGGGAAAATTGCTTGAGGCCAAGAAGGTTAAGGCTGCAGTGAGCCATGATCACGCCACTGCCCTCCAGCCTGGGCGACAGAGCAAGACCCTGTCTCAAAAAAAAAAAAAAAAAAAAAAGAAAGAGACAGAGAGAGAAAGAAAGACTGATTTTTCCAAGATACAAATTGCTCTAACTGTACACAAACATGCACACACACTAAAGACAGAAAGAAAGCAAAAGCAGGCAGGCGCGGTGGCTCACACCTGTAATCCTAGCACTTTGGAGTCCAAGATGGGCAGATGGCTTGAGCCCAGGAGTTTGAGACAAGCCTGGGCAACATAGAGAGACTTTGTCTCTATAAAAAAATTTTAAGGCCTGGTGTGGTGGCTCACACCTGTAATCCCAGCACTTTGGGAGGCCAAGGTGGGTGGATCACAACGTCAAGAATTCGAGACCAGCCTGGCCAATATGGTGAAACCCCGTCTCTACTAAAAATACAAAAATTAGCTGGGCATGGTGGCGGGCGCCTGTAGTCCCCGATATTCAGGAGGCTGAGGCAGGAGAATTGCTTGAATCCGAGAGGTGGAGGTTGCAGTGAACCAAGACTGTGCCACTGCACTCCAACCTGGGCAACAGAGTGAGACTCTGTCAAAAAAAAAAAAAATTAAAATTACTTGCGTGTACTGGCACATGCCTGTGCTCCCAGCCTCTCAGGAGGCTGAAGCAGGAGGATCACTTGAGCCCAGAGGTTTGAGGCTGCAGTGAGCTATGAACGCACCACTGTACTCCAACCTGGGTGACAGAGAGTGAGACCTTGTCTCTTAAAAAAAAAAAAAAAAGAAAAGGAAAGCAAAAGAAAACACTCTAAAATGTAAATAGCAATTTATACATTTTTTGCCAAAACAAACCAAAGTTATTACAGCAATGAAATAACATTATATCTGTATATAGAAGCTGCTTGCTAAACTCATGATATGGAAGCATTCAGACCAATAGATAAACAGAAACAAAAAAGACATAGGAAATATAGCCTTTAAAAATAATGCAGATGCTCCTCTACTTACAATGGGGCTAAGTCCTGATAAACCCATCGTAAATTGAAAATATCCCAAGTCGAAAATGCATTAATCCACCTCACCTACCAAATATCATAGCCTCACCTGGCCTGCCCGAAACACCTGCATCTGACTACAGTTGGGCAAAGTCATCTAACACAGGGCCTGTTTTATAGTAAAGTCTTGAATGTCTCATGCAGTTTATTGAATTCTGTACTGAAAGTGAAAAACAGAATGGTTGTCTGGGTACTTGGAGTACAGTTTCTACTGAATGGGTGTCGCTTGTGCATTATTGTAAAGTCAAAAAATGGCAAGTGGAACCATCGTTAGGCCTGGGACCATCTGAAGTGGATCATAAAGTTATACTAATGATTCTTTCTTGGCTTAATGGTTCCTCACTGTGGTATTTTCAACTACTTTTAGCATTAAAAAACCCTTTAAATATTGACTTAGGACAACACAAAAGGACATAAACTCAAGTCAGTGGCCAGCTGCCTCTGGGAACAAAGGAGCTGAGAGATGCTTTGTCTAGACCATGCTTTTGCGCATTTAGCAAAAGGCGGTCAAGGAGCGGATGCCTCCCCGGCGCCACCTTCTGGCCGCTGTTGTGCAGTGCGTGAGCTGCCGAGCGTGGCCGGGCTCAGGCTCAGGATATTAAAAGAGGCCCATTCGCAGAAGTAGCTTTGCCAGAGTGGGGACGGGAGCGTGACCACCTTTCCCGTGGCTCCCTGCCTCCTAAAGAGGAGTTACAGGTGAAGGAGGCTCTGTCTGTTACTTAGCTCTTCTGTGCTGCCAGCAGGAAGTGGAAAAAAAGTTATGTTATTTACCTCTTATCTTAAAATGGTAACTTGCTGCAAATCTTTTGCATACTTCTTTTCCCATAGAATTGGACACACCCACAGGTTGTTTTCAGACAGCCTGGGTCAGGCAGAGCATGCTTCTCATTTCAGAATTAATCTCGAATGCTGAGATGAAAGATGAAAACTATTATTGTTATTTTTTGAGACAGCATCTTGCTGTCACCCAGGCCGGAGTGCAGTGGCACGATCTTGGCTCACTGAACCTTCACCTCCTGGGTCCAAGCAATTCTTCTGCCTCAGCCTCCTGAGTAGCTGGGGCTACCACATCCAGCTAATTTTGTATTTTTAGTAGAGACAGGGTTTTGCATTGGTGGCCAGGCTGATCTCGAACTCCTGATCTCAAGTGATGCACCCGCCGTGGCCTTCCAAAGTACTGGGATTACAGGTGTGGTCCACCTCGCCCAGCCAAAACCTGATTTTTATAGACTGACCTGCTAGGCCCAGGCAGTTTCACACTTCCACACTCGTGGTCTGGTGCGAATCTAAATACCCATTCAAATGACAGCTCCTCTTACAAACAAAACTACTCAGTGCATTCAAGCCAGAACCTGTGGGGCTTGTGTAGACCTGAGAAACTTCTCAAGCAAAGGTTTGAAAATGGTCCTGTTTGTAAATGAAGGTAGATCCCAGCGGGAGCATTCCTCAGGCTGCTCCGGCGTCTTTCCATATTAAAGCAGCAGATGCAGACGAGGTCTCGTTCAATTATTTAATGGCCTGATTCCTAGTCCATAAAGTGGGGAGGTAGAGAGTAGGAAGATCTGACTAAATACTTTTCTCTTGTACTATTATAATCCTTTTTTTTTTTTTCCTCCGAGACGGAGTCTTGCTCTGGTCGCCCAGAGCTGGAGTGCAATGGCATGATCTCGGCTCACTGCAACCTCCACCTCCCGGGTTCAAGCAATTCTCCTACCTCAGCCTCCCAAGTAGCTGGGATTGCAGGTGCCTGCCACCACACCCGGCTAGTTTTTGTATTTTTAGTAGAGACAGGGTTTCACCATGTTGGCCAGGCTGGTCTCGGACTCCTGACCTCATGATCCGCCCTCTTTGACCTCCCAGAGTGCTGGGATTAGGGGCTTGAGCCACCACGCCCAGCCTTTGGGTTTTTTTGTATTTGTTTATTTATTTATTTTTTATTTTATTATTTTTTAAGACAGGGTCTCACTTTGTTGCCCAAGCTGGAGTACAGTGGCACAAACATGGCTCACTGCAGCCTCAACTTTCCAGGCTCAAGTGATCCACCCACATTCGTCCCCCCAAGTAGCTGAGACTACTGGCATGCACCACCACACCCGGCTTATTTTTGTATTTTTTGTAGAGACAGGGTTTTGCGATGTCACCCAGGCTGCTCTCAAACTCCTGGGCCCAAGCCATCCACCTGCCTCAGCCTCCCAAAGTGCTGGGATTACAGGCATGAGCCACTGTGCCCAGCCTTCTTTTACGCTAATCTTGTAAGTTGGGCCAGTTCTGTAGAATGACTAAAAAAGGAAATAGAGCCCCAAAGCAGAGATTTTACTTTGAAAAATCAAACCCAAATGCTGTAGTTTTCTGTGGCATGAGTGTGGGGGTCATACATCATGCCTCTGTGCTCGTTTTTCAGGCATCGTCAAGGATTCTGAAGGCATTTACAATTTAAAGAACCCCACCTTGTTCATTTTTGCCGAAAATGATGTTGTGATTCCACTCGAGAACGTAAGTTGGCATCTTTTCTCTTCGTATTTATTTGTTTTGAGACAGGGTCTTGCTCTGTTGCCCAGGCTGGGGTGCAGTGGCGCGAACTTGACTCACTGCAGCCTCCGCCTTCCAGGTTCAAGCCATTCTTGTGCCTCAGCCTCCCGAGTAGCTGGGACTACAGGCGCCCGCCACCACGCCTGGCTGATTTTTGTATTTTCGGTAGAGAGAGGGTTTCACCATGTTGACCAGGCTGGTCTTGAACTCCTGACTTCAGGTGATCTGCCCGCCTTGGCCTCCCAAAGTGCTGGGATTATAGGCATGAGCCACCGCGCCCGGCATCATTTGTATATTTAGTAGCATGATTTGACATTCTGCCGGGAGTGGGAAGTCTTGAAGGATACATTTGTTGCTCCAAATATTTCCAACATTACCATTTTAAAGATGGGTTTTATTCAATTCCACTTATATAATTCCACTGTGGAAGTGTGACGTTCCCAAAACATGCTTAAGGAAATGTCTGAGGGAGGTATTCTCAGCATGGCCTGATTACCTGGTGGAGAAACAGGACCTCTTGCCCTGCTCCATGCTAACCCACAAATTGCCGTAAAGTCTGTGACCTTAAAGACAAGGATTTATTAAACACAGTCAGTTGATAAGGAAAAAGCAGAAGAAAAGTATGGTTCAAAAGTAGTCAGTTAGCTGGGCGTGGTGGCTCATGCCTGTAATCCCAGCAACTCAGGAGGCTGAGGTGGGAGGATTGATTGAGGCTGAGAGTTTGAGACTAGGTCAGGCAATCTAGCTAGATCCCTTCTCTACAAAAATATAAGCAAATCAGCTGCGGTGGTGGCGCACATCTATAGTCCCAGCTATTTGGGAGCCTGAGGCAGGGAGATTGCTTGAGCACAGGAGTTGAAGGTTGCAGTGAGCCACGATTGTGCCACTGCACTCCAGCCTGGGCGACAGAGTGAGACCCTGACTCCAAGAAAAAAAAGTAGTCATTTAGAAATTATTTTATAATATTAGTAACTAATACATTAATGCAAATGATTTCACATAATAGATGGATCATTTTTACATTGCTCTGAAATCTCTCCTTTGCCAGACATAAGAAGAACTGTGTTAGTTATAAAATTAGCAGTAAAGGCCGGGTGCAGTGGCTCACGCCTGTAATCCCAACACGTTGGGAGGCTGAGGCAGGCAGATCACCTGAGGTCAGGAGTTTGAGACTAGCCTGGTCAACATGGTGAAACCCTGTTTCTACTAAAAATACAAAATTTAGCTGGGCGTGGTGGCATGTGCCTGTCATCCCAGCTTCTCCGGAGGCTGAGGCAGGAGAATCACTTGAACCTGGGAGGTAGAGGTTGCAGTGAGCCGAGATGGTGCCTCTGAACTACAACCTGGGCAACAGAGTGAGACCCTGTCTAAAAAGAAAAAAATTAGCGGGAAAGAATTCAATGTAACTGTGGAACTTGTTTCTAATTTAAAGCATTGATGTTAAATTTCTGTTATGAGCAGTCACTGAAGATTTGGAGAATGGAAAGTGCCACTAAAGGGTTAAAATCATGAAATCTTTTGCACACCAGGTATCTTTGCTGACCCAGAAGTTGAAAGAACACTGCAAAGTTGAATATCAAATTAAAACATTTTCTGGGCAGACTCATGGGTTCGTGCATCGGAAGAGAGAAGATTGCTCACCTGCAGATAAGCCCTACATTGATGAGGCGAGAAGGAATTTAATCGAGTGGCTGAACAAGTACATGTAGCAAGAATCAAGGGCAAGCCTTCCTAGAATAGCTTTCATCCCAAAATTTGCTTGGAAATACTTAGATCATTTAATTTTCACTTTTATAAAATAAATGTAGGAATCCTAAAATTATTTCATTTGAAACACAAATTCAGTAGGAAATAATGCATGAAATGATTTGATTTTTAACATGTACCTCAAATCATAATTTAAAAACAAGGTCTGGGCCGGGCGCGGTGGCTCAAGCCTGTAATCCCAGCACTTTGGGAGGCCGAGACGGGTGGATCACGAGGTCAGAAGATCGAGACCATCCTGGCTAACACGGTGAAACCCCGTCTCTACTAAAAAATACAAAAAACTAGCCAGGCGAGGTGGCGGGCGCCTGTAGTCCCAGCTACTCGGGAGGCTGAGGCAGGAGAATGGTGTAAACCCAGGAGGCGGAGCTTGCAGTGAGCTGAGATCTGGCCATTGCACTCCAGCCTGGGCAACAGAGCGAGACTCTGTCTCAAAAAAAAAACAAGGTCTGATTGGGTGCGGTGCCTCATGCCTGTAATTCCAGCACTTTGGCAGGCCAAAGTGGGCGGATCACCTGGGATTAGGAGTTTGAGACCAGCCTGGGCAACATAGTGAGACCCCCATCTCTACAAAAAATACAAAAATTAGCTTGGTATGGTGGTGCACGCCTGTAGTGCCAGCTACTTGGCAGACTGAGGCACAAGAATCAGTAGAACCCAGGAGGTGGAGACTGCAGTGACTCAAGATCATGTCACCACTGTACTCCAGCCTGGGCAACAGATAAGTAAATAAATAAATAAATAAATAAATAAATAAATAAATAAATAAAATAAAACCCAGGTCAGTACCTGGAGAATTTGAATGATAGAGTAATACCCTAATTATTAGTTAAAACCTACAGGCTGGGTGCAGTGGCTCACGCCTGTAATCCCAGCACTTTGGGAGGCCGAGGCAGGTGGATCACTTGAGGTCAGGAGTTCAAGACCAGCCTGGTCAACATGGTGAAATCCCATCTCTACTAAAAATACAAAAATTAGCCGGGCGTGGTGGTGTGTGCCTGTAATCCCAGCTACTCGGGAGGCTGAGGCAGGAGAATCACTTGAACCCGGAGGCAGAGGTTGCAGTGAGTCGAGATTGCGCCACTGCACTCCAGCCTGGGTGACAGAGTGAGACTCTGTCTCAGAAATCTCAAAAACACAAAAAACAAACCTACAGCTGTTCAAGGACCAGCTGACAGGTCAAGTGTGGCGTTTTCTGGTCTTTGAACACATCATAGAAAGTGACAAATGCTGCAAAGCCATGAAGAACATGAACTATAAACTGGGGTAGACCACCACCCAGCTTAGACACTTATCTATGCCACAAAACATCTGAATTTGACACATTTATATATTGCAATATGGGAAGTATTGAGATCAAAACAGGATTGCTTTGACCTAATTATATTAATCTAATAAACTAATTTTTTGAATTTTTGTATTTGTAGCGTTTTAAAAAAGATAGCAGAAAACGGGGGGCTAGAGTTGTCACCCAGCCACTGTCTCCTAGGCAGTGGATTTCCAAGCACTGGCATTTTTCCGTCCCAGGGCCTGAGGCTACCTCAGAAATCTCTCCTGTGTTTCTGGTGGTAGCATAAAGGGGAGAGCCGGCGAGAGAGTCTGCACCTGCACCTGCGGGGTGCGTGCGTGTGACTTCGGGCAAGTGACTTGATGTTGTCATTTTTTCCCTAATTTTGTATTGACGTCCTTCTCAGGAGAGAGTGGCTGTAAAGTCTAGCCCTGCCCTGATGGGGATTCTGGGGATGTGGTCGTGGGTGTTTCCCATGTGCCTTTCATGGGATCTTTCTTTGTCCTGGCAGACGACCTGATACCTAAGTGTCCAACCTGTGGCCAGGTGTCCCTCTCACGGGAAGCTTGTTTATCCTGGCACGTGCCCTTGTGGCTCTCGTCTGACCTGTGTCCAGTTTATTCCTACTGAGACAGCCACTCTCCCGGAGACCCCTGACCAGGAAAGAAGTTAGGATGGGGTAGAGGAGGCAGCTCATAAGAACCATGAAATGACAGAAGCAGTTTATTGCTTAGAGATCCAGAGAACAGAGGGCAGCACGCTTTGCAGGCCCAGCAAAAAGAGGGAGCCATCCAGGACACGTGGGCTCAACCAGAAGGTGGAGAACGAGAGAGAGAGAGGGAGTTGTGAGCCAAAGCTTTTACTGGAGCCCAGGGTGCTATCTAAGCAGGTTTCCCATGGAGGTTCTAATTGGGGGGTTTAGAGCAAGCGGGCATGAGCCCAGGGATTCGTGCTGTGACTGAGAGGAGTCGGTGTGGGTAGGATATCAGCACGGCCCATGTGGGTGTGGGGGGCAGTGGGACAAGTCAAGCAGGTGGTATCCAGCTGTCCATGAGGAGGTGGTCCCAGGAGGTGGTTTTATGAGGCAGATGTCTGGATTCACCACCTCGAGGAACTGGGAGAAGCTGGATAACTAGAAACTGTGTTACTAATCTCTGCTTCTAGTATGAGGAAGTCCAACTTACAATCAAATGGATGCTCAGGAAACATAAAATTAAAAGAATTCCCCAAACTTGACCTTCCTGAGCCTCAGTTTTTGCATCTGTCAAATGGGTATGAGGAGACCTTTTGCCTAATGTTGAGAGAATCCAAGCCTGAACAGGGCTGGTCTGCTGTGAACACTTAGTTGTGGACCCCTACAGGCCAAAGCGATTGCCTGCTGAGGGCTGCTCCCAGGAGGCCTCACACATTCATCTGGCCTCCCAGGAAACCCCTGAGATGTGCTGGGCTTTTGCCCTGGATTGGTATCGGTGAGCATGTAGACAGTAGCCCGAGTCTTCAACACAGATGGGAGGGTCTAAAATTCGTGCGAGAATGAACCAAGGTTGTGGCTGTATCCTTGATGGTGAGCTTGGGGCCTGGGCAGCCTTCTCTCTGCTGAATCCTTTGGTCAAATGTCCTGGTGGTCTGAACCAGCACTGCAGATGGAAGTATAATGTAAGTCACACACGTACTTCTTTAAAAAGATTTTTCTTCAGTGTCTATTAGACAAGCAGATAAATGTAGGTAAAGGGAAAAAATGGCAACTTTAGCTTTTTTCCCTGTGTATATAATTTTAAATTTTCTCATAGCCCCATTAAAAAAAAGAGACATAAGTGAAGTTAATTTTAATAATACATGTTAGCCCAGTTTATCACAAATGTTCCATCAGCTTGTAATTAATATAACGAATCATGAGTGAGATATTTTGTATTTTTTTTTTTGTCCTCTATCTTTGACATCTGATGTGTATTTTCTGCTTACACATATCTCAGTTTGGATACTAACTTCATCAGAAGTACTTGATTTGGCCAGTGGCTCATGCCTGTAATCCCAGCACTTCGGGAGTCTGAGGCGGGTGGATCACTTGAGGTCAGGAGTTCAAGATCAGCCTGGCCAATATGGTGAAACCCTGTCTCCAATAAAAATGCAAAAATTAGTGAGGCATGGTGGTGGGTGCCTGTAATCCCAGCTACTGGGGAGGCTGAGGCAGGAGAATCGCTTAAACCCAGAGGTGGAGGTTGCAGTGAGCTGAGATGGTGCCATTGCACTCCAGCCTGGGCCACAGAACAAGACCCTGTCAAAAAAAAAAAAAAAAAAAGTACTTGATTTGTGTTTAGATTTCACAAAATTTATAGTTGAGAAAGTAGGTTTACATATTTAAGTTTTCTGATAACTGAGTCTTGCATCAAAAGTCATTTCCTTTACAGTTCACCTCCCACATTGACAAAACTGGTTCATTTGTTTTAGAAGAATTGATTTGACTTTGAAGCAAAAGCGTATCCATTTTAAAACGACGTCAATCTAAATTAAGTGAACTTGTGATTAATATAACACGTTCACTTTTGTGTCACTTTTGTGTCACTGTCATTCTGGTGCTGACAGCACTGAGGTCAGAGGGTCTAGCACACACTGAACAGAGAGCTCCAAGTGTGGTGGGATCAACAGAGCTTTCCTCAATATTTTTTTCTTGTTGTGTTTTTCAGGAGAAGTTTTTTGTTTGTTTGTTCGTTTGTTTTGAGACAGAGTCTTGCTCTGTCGCTCAGGTTGGAGTGGAGTGGTGCGATTTCGGCTCACTACAACCTCCGCCTCCCAGGTTCAAGTGATTCTTCTGCCTCAGCCTCCCGAGCAGCTGGGATTACAGGTGCCCACCACCACGCCTGGCTAATTTTTGTATTTTTAGTAGAGACGGGGTTTCACTATGTTAGCCAGGCTGGTCTCAAGTGACCTCAAGTGATCCACCCACCTCAGCCTCCCAAAGTGCTGGGATTACAGGCATGAGCCACGGCGTCTGGCCCAGGAGGAGTATTTTACACTGCTTCAGTTTTTTAATTTAAATGAATTAAAATGAAATGAAAAGTTGGCCTCCCCAGGTGCACTAACCCTGTAGCAGGGTCGTCACTGGCCGCACGTGCTGGTCTACACTGGGCGAGGAAGATTTGTATCACATCCCAACGGCACCCTGTTGACTTTCCATTAATCCTGTTTGTCCGCCTCATGACAGCCCTGCAGCCGGTTGTGAAAGAAAATAGACTCTCAGGACCAAAAGTCACTATGCCAGAGGGAAGGTTCGGCCTGGGAACTGTGTGATACTGCCTTCCTTTCCTTCCCAGACAGACAGCTGCAATGTCACACCCCTGTGTTACAGCCTCATCCGTAAGCCAGGATCCCACAACCACGGAAGGCCACACATCTCCCCAGATGGCCTCCCTCCCAAAGCGCTCACCTGGAAATTCCTTGTGAGCAGCTAGATCTTTCAGGCTATATCCACCCCCTCTAAACTAGCCCTGAAACAAGTTTTTTGGATCTCACCCTGACGATGTCAATTACCAGCTGATCCTCACAGAGAGGACAAAGACCAGAAATCATCCCTGAGACAAATGCATAATTGACTTTTCCTCTGCTTGCTTTCTGACGTGTAAAATGTAGATTTACTGAGACTCAGAGCCTCACAAGAATGCGAGCGTCTGCCTCACTGTCTCCCTCCCCCGTCTTTTCCCTCCTGCTTGCCCTTGCCTTTTTAAATATTGCCGTTCCCCAAACCCCCTTTGGAAAAAGCACAGCTCACGGATGTGTCTGTGGCTTGTGGTGGTTTTCGTGGGTGTGTTCTCAATCTTGGCAAAATAAACCTCTATGGATTGACAGCTGCCTTGGTCGCTTTTTGGTTAACATGGTCTTTCTCAATTACAGCCAGATAATTTATTTACTTGGCAAACTGCTCAAGCCTAGATCTGTGCCTACACTTAGCCCCTCTTCATGTCCACAGACACCAAAAAGGCCAT